AAAGAAAGAAAGAAAGAAAGAAAGAAAGAAAGAAAGGAAGGAAGGAAGGAAGGAAGGAAGGAAGAAAATGAATGAAAGAAAATAAATAAGTAAATAAAGACAGAATGAATAAAAGAAAAAGGAAGGAAGGAAGGAAGGAAGGAAGGAAGGAAGGAAGGAAGGAAGGAAGGAAGGAAGGAAGGAGGAAGAAAAGAAGCCAGCTTACTATATTACCCTTTCTATTGTACTATTTTGGTAAGCTCACATTTTATGTCAACAAGTTGGGAGACCTCCGCTATCATCTGAATTATGTCAGTATCTTATGTCTAGTTTGCACAAGAATCATATTTTAAAGAGGAAAAAGGATGTGTAAAGTAGAAGACTTTCATAGAGTGTTTTACAGCAGGTCTTTTATCAGCAGATCTTAAAACACGAGGTGCTGCCAACGAAATCCAGAGGAAGAAAATACCAGAACTTACATATAGTTCTATTACAGTCAAATTCTATTACTAAACTGCATCGGGCAAGGACTGTTTAAGACTTAGAAGATACTTACTGCAAAGTCACAAAACCTAGATTGAAAATCTATCTAAGATGCCTAAACTACTATTTAGGTGACAATTTTGCCAGCTATATTTTCTCCTTCCCATTATAGATGCTCTCTTCCATGTCTACCTGTGAATTTTCAGGTCACAAGGTGAAAACAGATGTTTAAAAGTAACCTATGAGCCCTGGAGGATGTGCCTGCTATTACCACTTTGAGGGCTTTCAGAAGTAGAGAAAGTGCCAGCGATTAGCTTGACAATTACATGGACATGTACTCTGTACAAAGAAATACCCTCAGATCAGAAGAAGAGATTAGATAACCATTTGTCTGAAGTGGTGTAGGGTTTCCTGCCTAAGCAGGGGATTGGACTAGAAGACTCCAAGGTCCCGTCCAACTCTGTCTATTCTATTCTATTCTATTCTATTCTATTCTGTTCTGTTCTGTTCTGTTCTGTTCTGTTCTATTCCGTTCTATTCCGTTCTATTCCGTTCCATTCCGTTCCATTCCATTCCATTCCATTCCATCATTCTAGCTCCTGCCACCACAATGAAAAGACAGATTTAACAGATTAACAGAGTTGGAAGGGACCTTGTACATCATCTAGTCCAATTCCCTGCCCAAGCAGGAGACCCTACACCATTTCTGACAAATGGCTGTCTAATCTCTTCTTGAAAGCCTCCAGTGCTTAAGCTCCCACGACTTGTGAAGGCAAGCTGTTCTATTGGTTGATTGTTCTCATGGTCTCCTTACTTCTAGGTTGAATCAATTTCCATCCATTATTCCTTGTCTGGCCTTTGGGTGCCTTGGAAAATAGATTGACCCCTTTCTCTCTCTGGCAGCCCCTCAAATATTGGAAGACTGCTATCATGTCTCCCCTGGACTTTCTCTTCACTAGACTCGCCATGCTTAGTTCCTGTAACGGTTCTTCATATGGTTCTTCTAAGACAACAGAATATGGCTAGAACAATGCTGTCACTGTACCAGAATTAAAATTAGCTGTGAACCCCATCCTTGCTTCTAAAAACTATAGCTGGCTTCAACAATAAGCAACACTACTGTTTCTTCACAAAGGGAAGTGGGTCATTTAATATCACAGATGATTGCTGGACAGTGCTGGAGATCTTCATGTAAGGTGTCAGGTATACTTGTGATTGATACACTGATCTCCCCTTTATTGCTTGGGTGCTGTCCTTTTTTCTTAAGATAGGAGTTCTGACCATGAATCATCTATTTCCACTTGTTCAGGTTTAAGAAGAAAAAAAAAGATAGATGACCTTTCTTTTCCCCAAGATTGTTTTCATGATGTATAGATAATGTTTTGAAGGAAGAGAGGGAAGGAATGGCACTAACTCATGAATGAAAGACAGAAGGGGGATTAAAGAGAGTGGATCTGAATCAATGGGTATCCCCGTGGGACAAAACAAGACAGAATATGGGCTGGGCTCATGCCCTTAGCTAAATTATCCCGCCTTCACTTGCCTCCTACAATCTGACCTTTTGTCCCGACAATATCATCAAGCAAACCTACTCTTTTCATACAAGGAGAGGAAAGGAGTATTATTTGTCTGGGAGGAGAAGGAAGCAGCCTAAGCAGGAAGCAGCCTAAGCAAATGACGTTTGGCGTAAATGTCTATGGAGGTTCTCAATCAACCCAGCTCATGGTTGTCCCAAAGGTGCTTGAAAATGTTTCCTTTCTCCTCCAAGAAACTGCTTCAGTTCTAGAACTGAAGAAGAACTGAAGCAGCTACTTGGTGGGAACAAAAAAATAATTCAAAAACAACAACAACAAGAAAATCCAGTTGCCTTTTGGAAATGCACCTTTTGGGGCGATGTTTAGTGCAGTTCCTTATCATCAGGATCTGCCAGATATTAGGAAAAGTTTATCTATCAATGGCAGGATATTAATTATGGTACCCCACAAAGAGGTGTAGCTTTGCCTCAATAACTTTTACTAAAGCCTTCCTTTTGTTATATTTGTGCAATTGCCTTGTCCCCGTTATGTTTACAAAAAAGCAACACAAGTGTACTTTTCACCACTGACTTTTACAGGGGGCCTTCCTTTTCTTCTCACCAAGGAAAAATAATTGGTGTGCTAAGAATTATAATTAATCTAAATTAGCAACTGAGAATCTCTTCCATATACAGGCAATCCACGACTTACAACCACAACTGAGGCCAACATTTCTATTGTTAAGAGAGACATTTGTTAAGTGAGTTTTGCCCCATTTTACGACCTTTCTTGCTATGGTTGTTAAGTGAATCACTGCAGTGGATAAGTTAGTAACTCAGCTGTTAAGTGAATCTGGCTTCCCCATTGATTTTGCTTCTCAAAAGGTCGCAAAAGGTGACCACATTTTCTTTGGGACACAGCAAAGGTCGTAAGTATGAACCGGGTGCCAAGCATCTGAATTTTGACCACATGACCATGGGGATGCTACAAAAGTTGCAACTGTGAAAAATGGTCATAAGTTATTTGTTTTTCAGTGTTGTTGCAACTTTGAATGGTCATTAAATGAACCTGCTGTAAGTCGAGGACTACCTGTAGTATGTGAACCAAGTTTCTTTTTCACTTTCACACTCTCAATTGTGTGCAAATTGCTTGCTTTAAAATCAGTTTGAAAGAAGATGAAGATCTGAAAACAACCTTGCTATGTCCTACAGTGTTTGGTGCTGTTTATAGTTAAGACACATCTTTTGTTTAGATTTTATAATTATACTAATCAGCTGCAAACCAGTACAGTTTAATCAATCACTCTGTGCTCAGAGTACACAGTGTAATTATTATTCATAGCCTACGAAGACATTATCTCTCAAAGGCACTGCTGAGAAGAAATGGTTGCCACCCACTTACCTCCCTTATCATTAAAGTCCCTTCTCTTGAAATACTGCTAAATTTGTCAGGGTGGGGAGGCTCCAGACCACCATGGCTCGATACCATTCCTAGATTGTAGGACTCATTGTTGGCTGGCATTCCCGTTGGTCTGAAAAAGAGGAGTTTTCAAAACAAAAAGAAAAGAGAAAGAAGTAGTTGGTTTCTCGTGATAAATTCATGACGACTATAGGAAAAAAAAATTAACCTTAAAAGATTTGTAATTGCCAAGATATAGAAAAACCAGGATCAGAAGCTAAAGGATTCTATCTCATGTTCCCAAAATGCCGGTCTCTCTCATTCTTGGTATCTATTGCCTGAAAAAGCAATTTCACAGTTCTGATCCCAAACTTGTGTTGTTGTTGTTGTTGAAAGCTTGACATTACATTTTCAGTTTGTCCTGTGCTGCTTCCTGTCATATTGGGATAATATACAACTCTGGCTGCTCCATGGAATGTATTTTCTGAACTAACTTCAAGGAGAAAGACAGGAGAACTGGATGGTGTCTCTTTGAATGGGAAACATGTATCCAATGTTATCATGTTCCCCCCAAGCTGATGCTGAAAAGGCCTTAAGGCATACACTGGGTACCAGTGGTGGGTTTCAAAGAGGTTTACCCCCGGTTCGGTGGGTGTGGCTTGATGGGCACGCTTTGTGCGCACGCAGACACTTTGCACATGCGCGCACCAAACATGCACTTTGTGCATGCGCAGAGGCTTTTCTACTCACCTCCTGTAATCCCTGTAGCTTCAACAGCTGACGCGCAGCAATCTGCTGTACCGCGCAAAGCAGCTGCGCTTCAAAAGTAGGGAATAAAGGTCAGTATGGGAACCCGGGTGGGTGGGCAGGCGGGCCCAACATCAGCTCATCCAAGAGAACCAGTTCGGTCTCAGCCGATCCTTGGCGCTATCGGTACACTAGCACCAGGCCGAACCGGTAGAATAGCACCACTGCTGGGTACCCAGGAACAGGGAAGCAGGGAGTTGATCTGGTGGTTGGTCACTGCATCATAATCAAAGCTGTACCTTCCATTCATACATAGCTATCGTGCTCATATATAAAAGAGCTTTGATTACAGTACCAGAATAACAGAATTGGAATGGACCTTGGAGGTCTTTCTTTTTTCTTTTTTTCATTTATTTATACACTTTTCTTTTACATGCACAAGTGCTTTGTGAACAGTATATTGTCTGGGTCAATTTGCTTACGCATAATAATATTTATCTATTTTCTAATCTCTACCTCTATTGTCAAGCCATGGATAAAACAAGTTCCATGTTAGAAAATATTCTGTATCTTCTTTATCCTTTATCTTTAATGTCAACCTATCCATTTCTGCACAAGCTTGATTTTTTTTTTAAATTACACTCTCTTCTGTAGGTATTTCCTCATTTTTTTCCAGTGCTATGCAAATATAACTCTTGCTGCTGTCAAGACATGCAATATTAAGTATATATTCCCTTTATCATACTTTTCTGGTACTATGCCTAACAAAAACATTTCTGGCTTATGATCAATATGTTGCTTTAACATTTTTTCTAACCACGTGTGCATTTTCGTCCATTTTTTTTTGCCTTTGCACATGTCCACCACATGTGATAATATGTGCCTTGTGTCTGATTGCATTTCCAACATTTGGCGGACATGTTTTGGAACATCTTTGCTAACCTCGCAGTTGGCAGGTGGGGTTTTGGAGGTCTTGTAGTCCAACCCTCTGCTCAAGGAGGAAACCCTCTACCATTTCAGACAAATGGTTGCCCAATTTCTTCTTAAAAACGTCCAGCGATGGAGCACCCATATACATCATCACACACCCCAATTTTGTACTAGTTTCAAGTACTCATCATAACATTATAATTCATATTATGAGATTCTTCTTGCCTTCAGCAGAAGCTAGATGAATGGGATTAGCAAGAAGGAATGTAATGTTATATGACTACATTTCAGACAGGCAGTTCTTGCCACACATAGGCTATTTTCAAAGTTATTCCCTCAGCTAGCATTATTGTCAAATCATACGTCCCAACCGGGCCGTTTTTATTTTTGACAGCTCTCCAACATAAAATTGCAATACAGAATATTTTTCACCACATTAAAAAAAATACAAATAAACTAATTGCCTAAACGCCAGCCATATGTTTTTGGTTGACGAATGAAAATAAGCAACAGCTGCATGTTTCTGCCTGAAGGCAGATATTGACCTAGTTAACGTTTATAGAAAGATAAATTAAAAGATGCTCTGATCATGAACTGGATGGACTGTTGAATTTGGTTAGCCTTCGGAATTTCAAGAAATCACTGAAGTGTGTGTTGATACAAATGGCAATGACATGTTCAAATATTAAAGGTGGAGCCTGCCAAATAAAGTAACAATCTCTATCTTTGAAATTGTCATGCCCCTGTTGGAATCTGATTCTGAGGGGGAGGTCATGCAGCTGACAGGGAGTGGGATTGTGGCTCTGGTGGCTGTGGAAGAAACTGGGGAAGGGTACAGTCCAGCTTGGCATTCAGAGGAAGACCCAGGGCCACTCCCTCTTCATCCTAGGGCATGCAGGGAGAAACGGAGAAGGGAGCAATGTGAGTTATGTGGGTTACGGAGGAGAAAAGGGCCCTGATTCCCTACATTAGCTGCAGCTGGGAAAACAGGATTTAAAAAGGGTGTTTGCGCACAGTACCTTGCTGGAAGCAAAGCGTGAATTATCTTTGTTTGTCAAGTCTTATCTGGGTTCTGGTGTCCTCCCAACTGTGTGTGTGTGTTTCGATATCTTTTGAAGTCTGCAATTCCTTATCCTGCCCTATCCCATTAATTGTTGCAGCATAGTTTGTGTTGGCTTTTATTTATAATTTATATATACTTTGGGTTTGGACTGAATTTCTTCCCTTTAAAAATTGTTCTTGGGAGAGTTTTTTTCTCCAGCCGAAGGTAACTGGACATTGGGGGCAAAGTTGGAGGTATTAAAGGGACTTTACCTACTTGTGTGACCTTGTTGCTTTTGTGCCACACCCCAGGGGGTCATCACAGAAATACAGAAGAACTCAGAGAAGGTTCTTTAAAAAAAAAATCTGGGATTTTTCAAAAGACCATTCCTAAATTCTTCAGTATGCGAATGAGAAAGAATGCATTAGAGCAGGGGTGTCAAACTCACGGCCCGTGGGCCAGATGCATCCCACAGGGTGCTTAAATCTAGCCCATTGGGCCAGCCTGGAAATATCAAAGGACCAACCCACGGTGCCTCTGCTAGTGAAAACGGAGTACAAAGGGGCTGTGTGCTGCCCCCCACACCCCGTTTTGGCCAGCAGGGTTCTGTAAGAGGCATTTGTCCCATTTCTCCCACCCCCGGCTGGCCTATAGAAGAACCAATGCTGATCTGGCCCTTGAAGAACTCGTCTAACACCCTTGTATTACAGAAATACATTCCACTGACAGACAGGATTGACTGTTGCTTTATGGAGCCCAAATTTACTATTTCATAAATTCTGCATTAGGAACTCCACTTCAAGATGGAGATGTAGGGCTTGGACAGCTAGGTCTTCCTGAGTAAGAAGTCTCATTCAGTTAACTTGCTCAATGAACCTCATATCATTGGAGGAGTGGGCAATTCACTTTCCCAAGTGGCCATGTGAGAAACTGGGACTGTTAAGTTCCGCTACCATTGCCACTACCACCACTACAATCCTGCCACCACCACCCCACCACTGCATGCCAGACAGGGACAGCCAAAGGACCAGACATAGCCCGTGATGCATCAAATGTCTAGGTCTGCATTAGAAGGAGGAATAACTTTGGTGGCTTAAAGCATTTTGGAAGCAGGAGGGCTGAAATAGGGGATGGAGCAGAGGTGGTATTCAGCAGGTTCTGACCAGTTCTGGAGAACTGGTAGCAGAAATTTTGAGTAGTTCGGAGAACCAGCAAATACCACCTCTGACTGACCCTGCCCCCATCTATTCTCTGCCTCCCGAGTCCCAGTTGATTGGCTGGGTCTTCTTTTGTTGCCCTGCACAGGAGAACGGAGCTGGAAAGCAGGTTAGTAGGGTGGGGAGGGAATGGGATTTTGCAGTAACATTCCCCCAGGAGTGCAGAGGGAATGGGGATTTTACAGTATCCTTCCCCTAGAGTGGGGTGGGAATGGAAATTTTATGATATCCTTCCCCTGCCATGCCCAACTAGCCATGCCCACCAAGCCACGCCATGCCCACCAAGCCACACCCACAGAACCGGTAGTAAATTGGGTGGAGGAATGTTATAAAGTAAACAAAAAATTGGATATATCTATAGGCATTCCCTTTGTTTTTTAAAGGAGAGGAATTTGGAATATTGATTGATTCAGAGAAGACTATTGTTTACAGAAGTATTTTCTTACATCACTTACTTCAAAATGACAGAAAACCAGCCCCTCTATTTTAAGTAACCAACCTCAGAAGTGGTTCCAGAAACCACAAAAAAAGGAGGCTTGGGGTTAGATGTAGCTCTATAGGGCCCCATTTTGCTCACCTATGTCTTACTGCCATCGTCTGATTCCTTACCAAACAATGTAATGAAAGTGTATATATTTAGTTGCTGGGTCCCTTCACCACTACTGTTGTGCATTTGTTCACTTCTCTTTGGGGAGAAAGAGAGAACAGGAGACTAAGCTCCTGTCCCAATCTGGTGGGAAATCTTTTGTATACATTATGGAGATGTTTTTTTCAGCCATTGTCTACAGCAGAGGCCCCCAACCCTGGTCTGTGGACTGGCACCAGACCAGAAACTGGGCCATGCAAACAAGCAAAGCCCCATCCGCGGGATGCAGGCAGCATGCAAAACCACACCTTCTCTAGTCTGTGGGAAAACCTCTCTCCACGGAACCAGTCCCTGGTGCCCAAAAAAGTTGGGGGCCGCTAGTCTATGGAACATTATTCCAACCAACAATTCCAAATGAGGCGCATTTGTGGATTTATCTTCACCAAGAGAGAATGTCTTACATAAGCCGTGGGATGTCGCTGACAGGCACAGTGCCGTCTTGGGTTTCACTTTCTCCGTCCTCTTCCTCCTCTTCACTGCTTTCGGACTCCTCACTGGAAGAGGAATAATCGGTAACTTTCTTTAAAGGCCGGTTGGTTTCCTCAATCCGCAGCTCCCGCAGTTCTTTTGCTAAAGCAGTCAGATCCTGTACGAGAAGGGGAAAATGCAGAAAAATGACGTGAATTTTCACCTGAACTACTGAAGGGGTGGAATGAGGATTAGGAAACGCGATAGCCAGCTGATATAGAAGGCAACATTATGGAATGTATAGAGTTTGTTGTACTAAACCCTGGCTTTATACTCACTGAAAACCAAACAGCAAACTGCTAACATATGGGTTACACATAAACATGTGTTTATAGCCTTCTATGAACATGTACAAGACTAGGGGAGGGGGAAATGACATCTTGAACATTATGTCATGCAATTGACACAAATAAATTTGTATCATCTGCATGACAATGTCATGACACACGCAAGCTCATTATGATAGATTTAGCATACCTAAATCTATTGATAGCTATAGCAGTTACAAGAATGCAGTCGCCATCATAGTAAACTGGGAACAATGCCATCTCAGAAGGTTATTGATTCCAAACGTACAATTTGGATGATCCAAAATCTGCATGTCTTCCACTTAAAACACATTTAAGTGGAATGGAAGAGCATGAGGTCAACCATGACCAAATACCACAGACTTTAGATCATGCTAACTGAACTAACTTTGGCTATTACGTTTTCCATGTGGACCTCTTTATATCCATTTCTCTAGAAATTCAGTGCAATGTATCAAATGGATTCCTTATCTATGATTGTCACTAATAATGTGCAATATATGTAAAGCTCACATAATTGTTTGAATCATGCATAATGATGTACAAAAGATATAGGCAGGGTGCATTTTACAATATGTGCATGTGAGTGCAAGTGAAGTGCATGTATACATATGCAAAACTGGCCATGAATCATAATAATGCTAGAACCTAAATTACCAGACACAAAGAATTTTTCATTTAACACAATATTTAAGGTTCCCCATTTATATCTTAATAGTGTTGTTTGAGGCAAAAAGTTGTAAGAACTGTAAAGAGATATTCATTGTAATCTTACATGCTTTCATGACCACACAAAGGAAAGCAGTAGGGTAAAGAATAAAATGCACAATAACTTTAATTAAATGAGTTAGAAGATAATGCATTAAGGAAGCACAAGATGATCAAAACAATTGCAATCAACTCTCTTACAATATTAAGACTAAGGAACCTATTAGCAAATTTGCTCAGATATAAAAGATTATGGAAAAAGAAACTGAAAAAAATTCAAGTTTCTATACTGTTGGTTTGTTTGTTCCTCTAGCTATATTTGCTTTTTCCTGCATCATATAATTATTTTTTGTGTAAAATGTCTTGGAATGTCTCTTAAAAATAAAAATAAACAGTCCTTTGCAACCTGATAGGAGAAACTGAGAATTAAAAAAAAAAACCTAACAATCCAGGCTCAGTGAAGTTCTCTTTGATAGTTCTGCACTCAGCTTGCTTGATTATGTCAAGCCCAGTGATGGGATTCAATTTTTTTTACTACCGGTTCTGTGGGCGTGGCTTGGTGGGCGTGGCAGGGGAAGGAAAATCTCCAGTCAGAGGTGGTATTTGCCGGTTCTCTGAACTACTCAAAATTTCCACTACCGGTTCTCCAGAACTGGACAGAATTTGCTGAATACCACTTCTGGTCAAGTCTATAGCGATTGTGTAAGGAAATCAAAGAGTGAAGTGTCATCTTCCCTCTACTCATCAAGTCTAATACTATTCAGGTTAAATTGTCAGCCTTTCTAGCCATTTTGTAAAATGTTATGAACAAAATCTATCTTGAGCATATTGAACTCTATGGGCAGACTGATATAGAAATAGAACAATGAACTAATGGGAGAAGTTTCAATCAACCAAATACCCGGTTTTCATTTGCTTAAACTACAGTGTCTAATGTTTTGAAATACTGCAGAAATTATAAATGTAAAGTTACCCAAATTCCCCCTTACATATTAGAGGAAACCATCTTTGCAAATTTTAAGACATTACAAAATCAGAAGTCTCAAAATATAAATAAAAGCCAACTGAAGTTTTACTTCATGAAGCTAACAAGTCAAACTTTGCAATGCTATCAAATTCAACACATAACAATGCCAGCAAACAGAAAACTTTGCTAACATCATTTCAAGCGGATTCCACCCAGATTAACTCAAAACAGTCTGTTAAAACAAAAATTATCCTAAAGTTACAACATATTAGCATAGCATTGCTATGCAAGATTATTTGTCCTGATTTAAAAGCATGGCTCTTTAATTCATTAGTGTGAGGATGAGACTATTGGTGATTACTGATTTATTATCCCAATGCAAAAATATTGTGAATCCTACCCACAAGGAATTCTCAACGGTTTTAGTTTGTCTGATGTTTTATGAGGGGAGATTGAAGTATAAAAGACAGTTGTTCAAGAAAAGGTCGGCAGTGGAGCATTTTATAGATTTTTTCTGAAGATTTGACATTAGTGACAAATTTTGAGCCGGCAATTGCTCTACTTCATTTTCCAAAAATTGAGACTTTTATTATTGTTTTTTTTAAAATGGAGAGCTTCGGTATCTTGAAACTCATACCCCAAGTATCACATTTTCAAAGGTGCATTTTAATTATATTTGTTGCTTCACCATCCAACAAAGTGACCTAACCAAGTCATGATGATGTTAACAATCAGTTTGTCCAATTTTTTGTAACTTGAAGTAGCAAGAAACCTACTGCTGTGTATTAGAGAAAATTATTTTTGACAAAAAGAAGGGCTAGAGGTGACGTGATAGCAGTGTCCCAATATTTCAGGTGCTGCCACAAAGAAGAGGGAGTCAAGCTATTATCCAAAGCATCTGAAGGCAGGACAAGAAGTAATGGGTGGAAGGAGAGAAGCAACCTAGAACTAAGGAGACATTTCCTGACAGTTGGAACAATTAACCAGTGGAACGACTTGCCTCCAGAAGTTGTAAATGCTCCAACACTCGAAGTTTTTAAGAAGAGATTGGATAACCATTTGCCTGAAATGCTGTAGGGTTTCCTGCCTAAGCATGGGGTTGGACTAGAAGACCTCCAAGGTCCCTTCCAACTCTGTTATTTCTGTATTCTATATGTTTTTTCTTAGTTATGACAAACAAGTAAGATAAAAATTTGTGATTACAACACAATTAGGAGTTGTGAATACCTACTCCCACAAAATTCTCAAATCTAAAAGTTGGAGGAGCAAATCTTATGGATGGTGCCTTGAAATATATAGGAAAGGTTTGCTCAATCAAATAACGGACAGCAGGAGTAAACACCATCACCATCAAGCCAATATTAACAGTTTAAGGACTAGAATCATAGATGCATGTGTGACACTTTTCTTTCTACTCTCTAGAACAGGGTCTCCAACCTTGGCAACTTTAAGCCTGGAGGACTTCAACTCCCAGAAAGCTTTGCTGGCTGGGGAATTCTGGGAGTTGAAGTCCTCCAGGCTTAAAGTTGCCAAGGTTGGAGACCCTTGCTCTAGAAGATGAATACAGTTCTTACACCCCATTATATTCTTTTTTATGTAATTAAAGAAAATAATAACTATGGCTTCTACTACCAACAAACATAATTAATTTCTGGCCTAATCTAAGCAAATATTTTCATTACTAACAAATTCCTTGGTTTTAAATGCTTTGGTCAACCCCCCCCCCAATCTCCATATGAACACAAGTCCAATTAAGATTTGGACAGCATGAATATTTTTCTAATATACCTTTCAAAGTCCAGTAATGAATGACTCATTCATTCTGACTGGATTGTTTCCAATTACCTGCAGCAACACATCATATTACTTTTAAATTAGTCTGCTCACCATCATCCAACTAGAGAATTAAATAGTAAAAAAAATTGGCTTATACATTCTCAACTGCAACCCCTATTATAATTTGGATATCAAACTAGAGCTTCATAATTACTGCTCACAAATCATTCAAGCAAGAGAAAGGGGCCCCCAACTGGGCCTAAATGTTTCGTTTCTTAGATTTCTAGGTTTCCAATCACACATGAAAACAACAGTTTTAATCCACAGGGTGTTACAGATACACTGGTGTTCAATGTAGCATGTCTCAGAGCAGCTTTACATGGTTGAAAGAGTTGCGAATGGCCTTTCTATAATTTCAGAATGTAGGAAGATGATACTTCTGGGAATGAACATTTTAACCTGTTAAAAAAAAACACCCTATAATAAAGGTACCAATCATCTTTGATGCAATAGCTGTTTGGTAAAGGTCCTGACGTATTTTCCTAAATCGGCTTCAATCTGGGATTTATTTATTTATTTATTTTATTTATTTGATTTGCCAATTGTTTACAAGATAATAAGTATAAGTGTATACATAGTTGTGAATACATGAAATGGGTACATATAAGAAAAATAAAAGAATAAGAGAAACAATAGGACAGGGACGGTAGGCACGTTGGTGCGCTTATGCACGCCCCCTAGAGACCTCTTAGGAAAGGGGTGAGGTCAATAGTAGACATTTATGAACATACTTCCTGGCCTCTGACCAGTTGTCTTCTCTTTCTTCAGTTTAGCTATCCTAATTTGGAGGGACATATAGTTTGGAATGTTATATTTATATTTACAAAGAAACAAAGGGTATGACTAGCTGATGAGAGCCAAATAAGTTGAAACAGATCTATACTAGCCTCCCTTTATTTCTGTCGGTAAATATAAATTTAACACAAAAAATAGTTTGTTGCAAAAGTGACTGCCTGCGAAGGCTCTTGGATTGGGAATGAAAAGCAAAAGAAGAAGCAGTATGCTCCGTCCCATATTTGGGTAGACCAGGTTGCCCTGATAAAAAATACTTAGAGTTTGGAATGTGTGGAAAAAGGAATTGTGAGAATTAGATCCAGGCAAAGCCAAAAGCAAATACCCCACACTACGGAACTGGAACAACTGATGTAATGGTGCCGTCTAGATAGAGTACATGAGTAGCACAGATCTTTATTTCCTGAATTTTTAGGGAAGTCAAATTTGGAGACTTTCTATGGTTCTTTTTTTTTATATGATGGTAAGCCTGTGAAATGTAGGCTTTCTAACTCCAAATGATAGAGTGTTGTGGTTCACCGGCAGCCTGTGCAGACAGCAGCGGAATTGGACAGTGGGGAAGAATGGGGACCAGAGCGGGAATCTGGGGAGGACTTGGACTAGGGTCCTGCATCCTATGCAGAGATGGGGCCAGGACCACCTGGGAGTGATGTGCTGGCTCCGGAGCCTCCAGAGTCTGGCAGCAGCGAGGCAGAGGAACAAAGGGAGCATGTTCCCAGTGCACGTGTGCGCAGAGCTGCTAGAAGGCAAGAGCAGCTGAGACAAAAGGGGTGACTCAGGAATAAGGCTTGGAGGTGATTGCCCCTCACCTAAGGTTTAAAGTAGGTGCAAAGGTAGAGAAACCTTTGCAGGAAGCAAAATTGTTTGCTCTGTTCAGATTAAACCTTGAAGCTCTATGTGGACTTTTTACTTTGGTTGTTTTTTTTACAGTTAATTTGGCACTTTAGTTGTTGGCAGCAATTCAAAGGAGATAAAGGTGGGTGCTTATCTCAAGGGACATTACGGCTGGGAATGAACATAATTCCCAGCGTTGAAATAAAACAAGAGTTATTTGGACTAAGCGTGTGCTTAATTACGATCTCAGGAAGCCTTGGTCAGAACATTGGGAATAGCATTTACTGGGTTTTTTAAAAATTGGAGGGTCTTTAATACCCAAAACACATGAGCAGCTACACATCACTTCTGTCTGGGTTGGGGAATTCTCTATTCAGCAACCATGACATAAAATAATGGACAGGTTTCTTTCTTCTCACCCATGCTTCTTTACATAATGAGTATATAAGTTTTAGTTTGTGTAACTAGCAAAAGCACATATTCAAGCAGGGAAGATACCTAGATACCTGCATGGCAGCTCTGATTCAGCTCATGAGCCTTAAATAGACCCCATGATGCAACCAGAATATCCCTGGTGACACTTCCCTTTATTCTCATGTGGATTTGAAGCCTTTACCACGTGATCTTAAAATGGTGAGTTTGAAACCTAAAAATCTAGATCTACATGTAACTTTTACCTGTTACACAAATGCCCAAAAGGATCAGGAGAAAGTGCAATTCCCATATTTCAGTAAATACCTGAGATAATAGACAACATTTTAATCAGAATTGACTTTTCTATTTTGGGGCAGGAAAATCTAGCAATATGGGTTTATTTAGGTTCCTACTATCATTATAACTCTAATATGCCCCAATCTTATCTGAGTGGGTTAAATACATCATGATGGAAGACAACTTAAATAAAAGTTTTACATGTCACATTTACACCTATTTTTCCTTTTAGAGAGAGTGTTTCTCTAGTTATATTAAGATCTTTCCTCTGGAATTACAATTAGCAAGAGCCCATTTTGTGAGCAAACAAGAAAGTAGGGTTTACTTTAAGCATAACTTTATGCAAGGGCATGACAAACCAAGAATAGACACTGCTATAAACCTTCTCTATTGCTTTATTATAGGCTTGAGGGTAATGGTGAATTAATTAGCACCAGAAGGAAAAAAGATCAGGATAGGAAAAGACATCTTTAAATTTAATAAATAAATAATAACATGTCAGAAAAACCAGGTCAGTTAGAAATAAAACAAAAATTGTTAAGTCAGTGTAGGGAGAAAAATAAAATGTCAGAAAAATCAGGAAGTAGGTTAGAAACAAACTAAAAATGATTAAGGGTAAAAAGAGAAAAACACAATAACAAAGTAATTTCTTCTACACCCTATTCCAATTTAGAAATACAAAATGTCAAAAAGCAAAATCAAGCTGGTATGAAATGGCATAGTCGGCTTGTTACAGGCCTTTGTGAAATCTCATAGCAAAAATAATGGTAGTTTAGATTAGCCACAGGGCAGAGGATATTTAATTAAATTCCTTCTCGTCTACTTCTTTCGGTTAGGAATCAAGGCACTGAGCTGAGTCTCCGTGCTTCATCTTGTGTTGAACCAAGCCAGAATTTCTTGAAAGATTCCCCAAAATAAAAACAAGTGCAGATACAACAAACAATTAGAAACTACATTGACAACTGTCCGTACAGGTAGTCCTCAACTTACAACAGGTCATTTAGTAACCATTCAAAGTAACAATGGCACTTAAATAAGTGACTTATGACTGTTTTTCACACCGATGCAGCATTCCCCGTGGTCAGGTGATCAAAATTCCAACACTTGGCAACTGACTCATATTTATGACCATTGCAGGGTTCCAGAGTCATGTGATCCTCCTTTTGTGACCTTCTGACAAGCAAAGTCAAAGGGGAAACCACTTAACAACCGTGTTACTAGCTTAAGAGCTGCAGTGATTCATTTAACCAATGGGGCAAGAAAAGTCGTAAAATGGGGCAAAAGTCACTTAACTAATTTCTCACTTAGCAACATAATTTTGGGGCTCAATTGAGGTAATAAGTCGAGGACCACCTGTACTACAGTACCTTACAAATACTTGAAGTATACTTTAAGTATGTTAGATACTTATTTCCTCTCCCCCCCCACCCAAAATTGTACAAAATTGTACAAAATTTGTGGAGAGATGATTCATCAAATAAAAAAAAAAAGCAGCAATATAAGACCCTTGGTGGCACAGTGGTTAGAGTGCAGTACTGCAAGCTACTTCTGCTGACTATCAGCTGCCTGCAATTTGGCAGATTGAATCTCACCAGGCTCAAGGTTGACTCTGCCTTCCATCCTTCCGAGGTGGGTAAAATGAGGATCCAGATTGTTGGGGGCAAGAGGCTGACTCTGCAAAGTGCTTAGAGAAGGCTGGAAAGCACTATAAAGCATATATCAGTCTAAGTGCTATTGCTACTGCTACATACTACTCATACATGACAGATGCCTAGCACAAAAGATAAATGGGACTCACAGCAGGTCGACTTGGCCGGGTCATCTCCTTGCTTTCTTCCTGCTTTACCTTGGCTGGTTCATGTGGGAGTATGGGCGATCCTTCAAGCTTGGCATTTCCTGGGCAAAGAAGAAACCCAGTACAAAAAGGATTCAAGACCAAATCAGGGAGGAAGTGTGAGGCAGGGGGAGAAAGTCTGCCTCATAAAATCCCATTCGCTTGGGTGTTGACTGTAATCTTTTCTGAGCCTAGATCTCAAAGAGTACATGCTGGTCTGAGAGAAATCCCCATTTCTTTTCGTTCTCACACCATTGGCATTTTGGTACTAGTTACATCTGCTTAAGACAAGTTTCTCCAAAACCTTTTCAGGAAGCTTGGCTTAGTTAAACTTGTATCTGAGCCATACCACTTCAAATGAAAAGTTGGTATTGATACCAACTATGAGTTGGAACGTAGTGCAATTTTGGAATCACCCCATCAGGAAATAAAGTTTGATGCTATGCTATGGCCTCAGACTAGTCTGGGTACCTCCAGATGTATGATCTTCAATTGTTCCCAGCTTTCACCATTGCTTTAATTCACTCATTTGGAAGACACCCAGGTGGGGTGGTGGTTTGGGGATTTATTTGGTTGAGGATTCTTTCATCTGCCAAGGACTTCTACAGTTCTCTGATGTAGAAAGAGGAGATAGCAAACTGCCTTAGTGGCATCCATTTTCTTCAACATTCAAACATATATCGTCCTTCACTCAGGAACTGGCAACTTTTTGTGCCCCAAGCTAAATGTAATGAGATTTTAGAGATCTCATCACATCTTTTTCCCACAAACTTGAGATCCTGTGGAATGCTAACTAAATTTTGAGAGGCCAGAATGGTTTAGACTTGGAAAGAAGCCTGGCACCTGTGGGAATTCTGTGCTGATCATGGGTGCTAAACTGTAAGGTTGCTCACTTCTTTGTGTCTTAGCATGATGTGTGAACCCAATAGCTTAATACTCTCAGCAAACCAAGGAGATACTGCTTGTCCAATAATCATGGCTAAAATATCCTGGCTTAGTGTTTCAAGGCAGATATTCAAAACACAAACAGAGTTTAGGACACAGGGAGAAATGAAAATTCTTTCTAGCATTATAGGTGGTCACAGATGATAATCCAATGAATTACAAGTATTTCAAGCAGCAAAAATGAAAATAGAAGAGGACAAACTGTAGGCATGAGAATGGGCTGAAATCTCACCTCTGGCTCGGTTCCGCTCACTGGAACCAGCTTGGGATCCAGGCTGGGAGCCACCCTGTGAACTGGGCTGTGAACTGGGGGTGCTGGAGCTGGAAGAACTGCCACTGCTTGTCCTCTGTATCAGATTTTCTATTATGGGCTCTGTTCTCCGCAGGTCTGGGTTACTAGAAAGAGGAAAGAAAAGAGGATGTTGTACCTACTTATTTGTATTCCACCTTTATTATTTGTTTATAAATAACTCAAGGTAGTAAACATACTTAATACTGTTCCCATTTTCCCAACAACAACAGCAATCCTGTGACATGAGTTGGGCTGAGAGAGAGTGACTTGTCCAGTCACCCAGCCAGCTTTCATGCCCAAGACAGGGCTAGAACTCACAATCTTCTGATTTCTACATTGGTGCCTTAACAACTAGACCAGACTGACTCTCATTTATCTATTCATCTATTTCATGAATACTTTAGAAAGATTCCTGTGAATTAGTAAGGTGGGAGAGAACCCTTTGATGCTTATTTTGGTCAACGCTGCAAATTTTCATTGAAGACCTTTGGTATTGAAGATGGCATGTATCCCTAGATCTAACAGAATAACAACCAGGTTGCTCTGGTTCCTAATGCCATGAACAGCTAAACCACAGCTGCCTCTTTCTTCAGAAGGGAGCAAACTGAACATCATTGGGGGTGGGAGGGGGGCTTAGATCCCCTTCCAAATATAATGCTTTAAAACAGCATCAGAAAATCCACAAAATTGGAAGGTTAGTCATTAAGTAGAGGCAATGGATAAAACTTCACTGTAAACTGCAGTGAAAAAAACAACCAATGTCATTCATGTTTGGTAGTCCTTTCCCTAAACAAGTTTATGGCTACTCCACTGGGATGGATTAGATTTCTTCTCCTCCAAGGAGAAAACTGTTATTTCTGTTATTTCAACAATTTCCTGTTGATCCATAAGATCTTTACTAAGTAAAATAAGGCAAAACACCACTACCAAACCGTAAAGCCAAGATCCTGCAGGAATATTCCCAAACTACTTCTTGTATGTGTAAAGTAGGGAAAGTGAATGAGTACTGTGCAGGTTTGAAAACCTTACACAACATCCTCACAGAGTAAGAAGTTATCATTCTCATTATGTCAGAGAACCAGGCTTCCAAATCATTAGTGGCTTTGGGTACTATCAATTCTCCAATCAAACCTCTGGAAAAGTTGATAAGAGATCTTGGATGATACTAGATGAACTGTATCATCGAATATCTGCATGTGTAATCACAACTTCATAGTAAACAAGGGACAACCTAATTACATAGATATGGTCTTCGAGAAATCAATAGCCATCAAATAAATATTGGGCCTTATCTATGATCATCCATTTATTTAAATTCTTTGCAGCATACCATTTTGAAATTTCCTTAATTTCTGCTAAAACAGTATTTTAAAAAACTGATTTATACAAGATATGTTAGGAGATGCAGTAGGATGACCAAAACAAAGTCATTAAGAGTAATGGGATGGCAGCCATCAAATTAAGGAAACCAGTAAGTGATAAGTTAAACAAAATCATTCTGAAACCAGCTACAAATATTCTATGATGTATGTAGCTCTGTATTTCAGCTACCATAAATTATACACCAGCTACTATTGACTATTCTATTTGCCTTGTTCTAATTCCCTCCAAAAGGCAACAACTGAGTTGATCTTGAGATAACAAAAAAGACTCAAGGCAGTCTCAGATATGACTGTTCATCTACTGTAGAACACACAGTCCAGGTGTGTTATTTCACATTGTTCTACTCCAGGCTGGCTGTGAGGTATTAGGAGAATTGAAGTACCACACGCCTAGAGGGATCTTCTTAGCTGAAGGATGCCACTTTTATCCTGTCCTATCTTTTCTTTGATCTCACTTTCATCTTTACAGTTAGTGAAAATTGCCTACATATAGTAACAACATTCTATCATTGGACATTGAATTTGAAAGCGGCTCCAAGCATCAATTCCATTGCAAATTAATGAAGAGACATTCCTAAGAACAAGTACAGGTGTGAAAATCCAGCCTAAAGCAAATGCAGAATAGAAAGTTAGACTTGAACAAGAGGAATCTGCATTTAAATCCCGCTTGTTGGAGGTGCTAATTGTATAGACATTCCACCCTTTCTTCTAGAGGTAAGAAAAACTTTGAAACTCAGTTTTCTTGGTTCGTATCCAAACTTCTCTAGCTGCCCTTAAATTGTTCTTATATTTAAAATGAGATTAGCAAAACCCATCCTGTTCTTTCTCTCAAGAGTTCAGATCCCAGCAAGGAAGAAAGAAGACAAAAGGGCAACTGCGCCCAAAATAAAGCGGTAGCTTTTATGCATGCCACCTTGAGTGGAAAACTATTTTGGTAAATAACACATAGATTATCCATTTTTAACTGGGTCATTCTAAGAATAACTCACTAGTTTTATTCTGGGTTTTCTAACCCTAAAACTGTATATTCCAAATTCCATCCAGTTGGGAAAGGCAGTTATAGAAGATGAAACATTTTCTTGCCTGAATACAATTCAAATATTTTCAGACTGGTTTCTGTAGATTTTGAATTTTAGATGCAGTATGAGTGAGGTTTCCTAGGGAAAATTCTAGATTTTCTGCCTTTCTGAGCAAATCTTTCAATCTTCTACTTAGATGGTGTTTGTTGTACATTGTGGTGCACAAAAGAGTCTTTGGGTTATGGCTGCTTTGTACTGTATACTGCAACAGGATCTGCAGTGTGATGCAAAACACAAAACTAATTGAAGAAAGAGCAAGAAATCCTAGATCCAAGACTTACATCCTTTTAGGCAAAGGTTGCTGCTGCTGTATGCCAGAAATGATATTTGAAATATTGTGGAGATGAATGCTTGCCAAAGTCTTAAATAAATCTTGGCCATTTCCTATTTTACAGCAGTCCCCTAGCTCTTAATGCATTAGTTTAGTTAAATCAGATTAAATCCTGATTTATCAAGAGCTGAAATAAGTAAGATCTCTTGACCAGCATAATATGAAATATACAAATGACATCTATCTATCTATCTATCTATCTATCTATCTATCTATCTATCTATC